AGCTTCATAAAGGAAGGTAAGAGGGGGGCAGGCTATACAACTGCCACCCTAAATAAAACTGTAGAAGCAGGGGCCCTACCTCCACTCAAAAGGCTGAGTTAATAGCCCTCACTATGGCCCTAGAATTGGGAAGAGGAAGACCCTGAACATCTATACAGACTTCCGGTATGCTTTCTCCATTTTACTTGGGCTAATCAATACCATGGAAACTCTAGGTATAACAGCTCTAATTGACCAGGTAGTGAAAGCTTGCCCAACCGGCAATGCCAATAACCTGAATACTCAGCCTCCCTCAATCTCCAGGATGAGGCCAAATAATGAGGGGAACACATCTTGGGGAAGACTGGCGTGGACTTCATTGGCATGCCTAAAGCACCAGGCAATTTCAGGTACCTCTTAGCACCTTCTCTACTGAAGGAAAAAAACTCCTAATTGCAGGCTCCCCAATCTTTACAGAGTGGCAATGGGCCAGCATTTATATCTCTGATTACAAAAGATGTTACCAAAGCCTTAAGAGTCAGGTGGGTATTACACGCTGCTTAATGAGACCTCATTCATCAGGAAATTCCGGTGGCAAAGGCTAATCAGACCCTTAAGAGAACTTCATCCAAATTATGCCAGGAAACAAGAGAATTGGGTAAGGCCCCTTAAAGTAACCTTGCTGCACATATGGCCTAGTAAAACATGACTCAGGGACTATTGCAAAGTAAGCACTGGAACGAGTTGTGATGTTGAGACATTCTATGCTTGGGCATGGCTACCCATCATTGGCCTTCCCCGTTAGGAATTTATGATCAGATCACCCTGTGAGGTTACTCACATCCTGTGTTATTCCTCCTAACAACCCTTCTTCTGTGTTCTGTGGATAATGATAAAGAGAACTATGACCATTAAGAAAGATTACCACAAGAGGTAATACTTACATTCAAGATGTGAGTCAGATAATGTCCCGTAACTCAAGTTGGGGAAAACAGCACCATAGACACCGATTCCTCCAAAAAAATGCCTACTGGCCTTGAGACATAAATGACACTTCCAGAAATAATGGAGCAGGAGCACACACACAAAATATTTAGTGTCTTACCTTGGTTGTGAGCTAGAAGATCAGAGTTCAATGTCTGTCTCTCTCATGTATGGGATGTGTCACTGAACTCTGAAAAATTCCTTCAGACATCCCTGAACATTATTTTTTTTTTCATCCACAAACATGCTACGATTTAGGCAAACCTATGTGGGACGTATGAGCACCCATTTTCTGGCTCTTTCTGGTTGCTTGGAAAGGTGTCATTCATCTATAAACATCGTGCTTTTTCTCAGTTTCCCCTCTTAGTGTTGGTTGTTTGCAAAGCTCAGATTTCTATTGCACCCATTCCTCAGTTCCCATCTTTTATGAAAACTCCATGAAGGTGTCTTGGGTCTTGGGTCTTCCCATTCAAAATCACTTACTTCCTCCTCGGTTCTTCTGCATCACTGTGGACAACTGAGCTTCTATTTCTTACCATTACAAGCTTCATATAATAATTACTGAGAATGTTCTGTAGTCACAAGCTATAGGGCTTTAATATCAAGCCACTGTAAGTTGAAAGCAAATTGGAATGCTATTTATAAGACCCTTGACGAAGAATGTTTCAATGATTTGTTTTAGATGAAATCTATTATCTCCATTTTATAAATAAAGAAAATAGGTTTGGAGATGCCATCCTACTGAATCTTTCTATATGACTCTATAGATGAATTCCTGAGCTGGTTAATGCTTGATATATGTAGGAGACACAATTGTTTCCTTTCAGATAATCCATCAAGTCGGGAGGGGGCGTTAAATTGCATGAGCCCATAATACTAGGATTGGGTCAAAAATACTTGAACTAATGTATCTTTAATATCAAGAGTGTATTCATGTAAAAACCAGTATACCATGTAATATATAAATGTGTGTTGACTAAGAAGAAAATAATAAAAATTAACGTCTGGTTATGATAGAATCTCCGTCTTCTAACTTCATAAAGAACAATGATTGCACTGACAATATATTCAACACTGTCTGGCCAAATGAGTCACTTTGCTAAGAAACTTTGTACACAAATAGAACAGTACTGTAATTGAGGAAAATAAAAATATTATGAAAACTATTTCCTACAAAATACATTCTACAACTATTCTCTCCAGAAAAAACAACAGAGGCACATACAGACATCTAAGTCCAGTTTCACAATGTGATACATTTAATTCTAATCCCAGGTATTATGAGCCACTATTTTGTTCTCAAATAGAAACCTGCATTAAAAACCCTTTACCCTCAATCCAATGGCTTTCAAATTCAAGGTTACAGTCAGAAAAACAAAAAGCCACCATTCCGGGTTTGGGGTAGTGTGTGATATTGTGAGACAAAAAAAATTACAAATTAATCCCTGGTAACTTAATTAGGCATATGCGTATGTGTGTGTATGTGTGTGTACACATACACACACATACACACATATATTCAATGTTGATATGCCTGTTTAAATTGTGCATTCATATAGCTTTTACAGCGATGCCCACTGTTACCTTATCTTTTTGACTGACAATAATGGGATTTCAGTCATGCTCAGCCTTTCCTACAGTGCCAGTGATGGGAATTTTTGAAATCTTATTACTGCTTGCACTGCCCTGATCTCAGATGGAACTTTCAATCAAAAAGGCAATCAGAAGGTTATACATTCGTGAGATCCCCTGCAAAGCCCGTGATCGCATAATACAACTTGTTGGAAGGGCCCACTTGCCTCCAGTCCTTATGTGGCTATAAAGAGTAATTGGCTACTTAGCTCTCAGCACCCGCATTTCCTTCTCCAAAATGCAGCCCAGCCCAGAACTCCACTGAGACTCAGCGTGAAATCTGGCTGTTCCTAGGAGATTTCTAGGTCTCATGCAGAGACCTGTCTTATTTTAAGCATCTGATTAAACAAACTCTCCCAAAGACACATTTGGCTCTTTCTAAGCATTCTTGTTTCACGGGTGATGCCAGTGAATCTAAGTTTTCCTTTATTTTGTATACACACAAACACTTACCCACACATTTTTCCTCAGAACGTTTTCATTGTTCATAATCTAGAAATCACAATTCTGTGTGGCAAGGTTAACACTTGAATTTAATTTCTAGCATCGTTTAACCATCCTATGGTAAGTTATTTTTAATCCTAAAATAACTATACTCATCAAAGATTACTGTAAAGTATGGGCCCTTAATTAGTGAATCTAAGTTTTCCTTTATTTTGTATACACACAAACACTTACCCACACATTTTTCCTCAGAACGTTTTCATTGTTCATAATCTAGAAATCACAATTCTGTGTGGCAAGGTTAACACTTGAATTTAATTTCTAGCATCATTTAACCATCCTATCGTTAAGTTATTTTTAATCTTAAAATAACTATACTCATCAAAGATTATTGTAAAGAATGGGCCCTTAATTCTCTAGACTGTACATATATGGATGTTTAAAAGACATTTTTATAATTTGATTTGATCAATTAGTGGACAGGGTCAAGGCTGAATTGATCCATGTGATGACCAATCCACTCAGGGATGCATCATCTCCCCACATAGGAGCCTTGAATTGTGAGATAGGTAGAGGGAAATGATTTTGTCTCACTTTGCATCAACTCAATGGTTCTTCTCCATTTGGTAGAAGAATGGGAAAGGACTAATGGTTGGGATCTATAGACACATTAAAATGCCTGTGCAACAGAAAACAGTGCACAGAGACAAAAACAGTCACTTTGATAAAGTTAAAAATATGTATTATTTAAAGAGTTGAACATGGGGTTCTCAAATTCTAAAAGTTTGGGAATGCTCATGCCTTCTCTTGGTTAAAGAAATCCTGGAAAGTCTATTGCTAAAGTAAAAAGTAGTTAAGTCTAGGGGTGTGTGTGTGTGTGTGTGTGAGAGAGAGAGAGAGAGAGAGAGAGAGAGAGAGAGAGAGAGAGAGAGAGAGAGAGAGAGAGAGAGAGAGAGAGAGAGAGAGAGAGAGAGAGAGAATATGCATGTGTGTTCCTTGGACCTTTATTTAAATTCAGGGTACACTAAAAATATAGTTCAGTCCTAGTAATAAACATACTTGATTCCATATTAGAACAACTTAAATGGGTTTTTAAGCACCAAGTGCTAGCATGGTGATGGCAACAACAACAAAATCAGCAAGAGACCCACACTTTCATGCTGTCTCTATGGGCAAAGTGAATTTTGAGGTGAGCTTTGGGCAACTGGTATACCAGACATTATCTCCTGCTCATGGAAACCATCATAGGTGATTATCCTATTGATTTCCAAGGTTGGAGGATATGGATTTTATATTCCTAAAATTAGCATGATTTTTGTTAAACATGTTTATAAATCTGTACTTTTTGGCACTTCACTGAGAAATATACTAGAAATGAGTCTGGTATGCAAGAGATAAAGTAATCATCTTACCTTGGTTTAGAATGTGTAAGGTAGTCAGAATATTATTAGTGGATATTATTACTAATACTTCTATTAATAATTTACACTCACCAAATATTTGTTTCAGACATTGTTCCAAATCCTAGTGTATTTTGAAATCATTTGGGGCAATCACTTTGACCTCCAAAAACACATTCAACAGCTATCATGATACACATAAAGGACAAACTATGGATGAATCTCAGGCAACAGAAACTCAGTAAGGCCTCATTTAAGTCACTGGAGAGTTGTCAATTCTAAGTATCATATTTAAATATTTTTTTTTCTATCATAGTAGAAGTAGCCTCCAAAAATTGGTACCTTCAGTTTTCTAGCCAAAGTCATGTTCTTTTCAGGCAGCCCAAGCCAGTGCCTGAGATGGTGTGATCAAGCCATTTCACATCCTTGGTTCTTTATATAAAAGCTCTTACAAATAAAGGTGATTCTTGCAATAATTTAGTTGAATGCTCTAGAATTCTAGTTAGACTCTCGTAGTAGGTCTTCATCTGATTGGGGAAAAGAAAAGTGAAGACAACAAAGGTATTTATAAAAATATATTTCACAAAGTAGGAAACAATACAGGAGTTTCTCTGAATACAATACATGGAGTAAATAAACAATATTGCATTAAAGCAAAGTAGAAAATTAAAATGATCTGCATGTCGTAGTAGTTCGGTTGTACCATACATTTCTCTACTCCTAAAGGTCTGGTTGGTATTACAAATTGAATATGCTCACATCTGCTAGGGCTGTTCTCTTTTGGACTCTAAGATGTTCTGTGTCTCACCATGAGGATCGGGGAGAGAAGTGCTGAAAACAGAAGCAGTAAAATTATGTACAAATCGGTTCCTGCTCTAAAACATTGTGGGGTGACTTGAAGCATGTCTGTTGGGCAGGGCGTTATGTAGGTATCTAAAAGTCTAGAGTTTAAATATTCACACGGATCAATATACTTTCAGATGTTTGTGCTTGTAGTAAAAACACCAAATACTAGGAGTATGAACAAAATAGAAAACAGTCCAAAAGTTTCTCTGGGAAAATGCTGTTCCTGCCATCACCAGTCACAATAACACTTTCTACACTAAAGAGACTATTCGCTCCCTGGTCAGAATATTGCCTGCCATACTCATCTCATCAAAATGTACATGTATTAAACATTCATTGTGTGTGTGTGTGTGTGTATATATATATATATATTTATATAAAACAATCTAAAGGATTATTAATGGATATAATTTATCTTTTTTTCTCCATATAGTCCCTTCATCTATAGGTTACCAACCTTAATAAATAAACGCATGAATGGGCATCAATAAAATATCTATTTTGAGGATTAAACAAATAAAACCATCTGTCTCTGACGTTGTCCACTGCGTGACATAGTCTATCTTTGTGTCCTTGTGGAACAAGATGAAGTGGAGGGAAGGAGTAATCCTGCTTCTTAAAAACAAGCCTGTTCCGTGGGATTTCTCTCCTCCCACCACTGCGTTGGCAAACCCCACCTTGGAATGGATTAGGAACATGTGACTATTTTATTAAGGCTCGACACAATATTTAAAGATGCTATTCCGTCTCTGATGAGTGGGGCCAACAATTATGTACAATGTGTGGTCACTGTACCGTGTAATCTTAGGAGGCCTTCCCAAACTCCCAAAAGTCAGAATGTACAGCCGACCGAGTATTGCTTTATCGTGTGTGGCGGGATCCTTATTGGTGAAGGGGAAAAAAACCATTCGCATTTATAAAAATCCTTGCAGAAGACACATCTCAGCAGCAAATTCCTTGCAGGTCCATTTTGTCTAAGAAAGCACCTTTTAATTTTGATTTTTTTTCCTCTTTTAAAACTATGTTTTTTCCCTAAGCGTGAGCCAGGATCCCCATCTTTGTCTGTGTGGTCACGTACATAGCAACTATCCAACGACTTCTAGACACTCCACATAGTTTAATTCACACTCCACAAGATTTATCACCTCCTAACATAGACTTTTTATTATCCATTTTTTTTGGTTCAACATTAAAATGTAGTTGAGTTTATAGATGATTGGTGCTACACTTGCCTCTAAAACAAATAGCCACATTGGCTGTATCTAAGGGGAGTGACCCTAGAATATTACAGAATGCTCAGTTCCATGGGTTGATTGATCATCCACTGTCAAGTTTCTTTGTCACTTTCACCAACAGAGTATAGTTCACCCAGTCTCTTAAAGCGGGGACCCCAGTCACTGAGGTAGTCAAAATTCTGGTCTGAGTCTGAGGTGGTGGACTCCAAGGAGCTGAGGGAGCCCGCCACTGACCCCCGGCCTTCATAGCCATAAATCTGAATGGAGTCATAGGGCGGGGCCGTGGGGTCGTTATCTGCCTCGTGTAGCCGCACATTTATAAATTCATCCACGTCAACACCATTGGGAACTGGAGCCAGCCCTTGCCTTGGCATAAACTGCAAATCTGGTTTAATATCCTTACGGGGTAAAAATCCATTAATTCCATCCGGGTTTTGTAAAGTGGCGATGTCAAAGGCCTCCGTGTCTTCCTCCCCGCCTCCTTCGTCGTCATAGCGAATGATGTTTTCTCGTACATCTTCATCATCTTTGATAATTAATGGCTCATTTTTATGTCGTCGCAGAGTTACAAACAGCACCACGATGACTGTAGGAAAAACACACATGAAAGAACAGTTAGCCAACTCGCATTTAGTCGTATGAGCAACACACACACCTTGTAGGTTCAGAGGGAGGGTCATTATTCTAAAACTTATGAGTCTATTGCTTTGATATCATTGCCCTGAGAATTAAGCAAAATACCTTTATGAAGGATGAGCTCTCAATTTTGAGAGAATGCTATTTGATGATTTTAATGTCAAGAAAAACATCTCAGGAAGACAATGTAATCTTGAAGAAAAAAATATATTTTTTGTTTGCTTATTTTTTTCTTTTTATCTCACCAAACTTTGTGATCAGATGGACTCAGCAACCCAATCCACAAACTGTTTGAATAAAAGAGTGTTCTGGACACATATTTATTGCAGCCAGCGGGTGTGCATCAGATCTGGAGGTCTCCTTTATAATAGATGCTGTTGTAACCACATAAGGCCCATCCCCACTTCCCCCACCATTCAGCTTAGTCTATATTTTCAATGGTGATGGCACTGAAAAAGGCACTGAATAGTCATCTCCAATTGGACATTTACTATTTTTTTTTTTACCATTGAGTTTTAGAGAGAGGGCAAGGGAGAGAGAGAGACAGAGAGAGAAACATCAATGTGAGAGAGACACATCAATTGGTTGCCTCCCACATGTCTGGACCAGGGCCAACCGGCTAGGATCGGACATTTACCATCACAACCATTTTTCTCCTCACCTCCTCTTAGTGATCTCAGAGCTAGGAGAAGTCCAAAAGAGTTCCTCTTCCCAAAAGCATGCTGGATGTCTGGCTTGGTCAGGGTTTGCTGTCCTTATGTACAGTCATTGATGAACCAGAAAAATGGGAACCATGAGGCTATGAAGGAAATACATACCTAGCAGCAAAATGATGCATGCCAATATAGCAATTAGGGCGCCCATACTGAGTCCAATCGGAAGGACGTAAGCTTCCACATTACAGGACTGGACAACACCATCACTGCTGCAGCCACAGACCCGGATGGTCAGCGTGCTGGTGCTGCTCAGAGGAGGGTTCCCGCTGTCACTGATGACGATTGGCAAAAGGTAGACTTCCTGCTTCTGACGGTTGAATCCATTATGCTTGGCCAAAATGCTGAGGGAATTATCTGGAAAAGGTGAAAATCACAATTGCGTGCATCATTTCAAAAATGGCTGCCCAAGCAACACTTGTTTTTCTAGTTCCTAAATCCTCTGTGAGCCTCGAAGCCACCCAACTCCACTGGGCCACTCGGGCTCTTTGCCTTTCTCCTCTTCCAATTTTTTTAAATATGTTTTTTTTAAATTGATTTTTAGATAGAGAGGAAAGGAGAGGGAGAGAGAGAGAGAAACATCGATGAGAGTGATACGTCAATCCGTTGACTCCTGTATGCTCCCTTCTGGGGATCAAGCCCACAACCCGGGCATGTGCCCTGACCGGGAATCAACACTGGGACCTCCTGGTCCATGGGAAGATGCTCAATCCACTGAGTCATACCAGCCGGCCCTCTTCCCATTTTCCCAACTGGCGTGGACCACAACATCCATACCCAAACACGTCCAAAGAATGGGGCCCCATGATAAACTAATGAAGTTTTATCATCATCTTGTAAATGCAAACTATGTCTTTTATTTAAGAAAAAGTGTCCTTGCAGAAGACCCAAATTATCCCAAGTCCCACAATAAGCTTAATTTTCTCTCACTTATCCTGATCATGCAAAATTGGCGGGAAAGAATCTCACCACAGTTGAAAGACATGTTTGAGAAGCTCTGGGTTAAAAGATAGACTACATGACACTATGACATACAAAACAATGCAATTTGTTGACTCTACAGGTAACTAGAGGTTGTGCACGCTCTAGAACAGTGGTTCTCAACCTTCCTAATGCTGCAACCCTTTAATACAGTTCCTCATGTTGTGGTGACCCCCAACCATAAATTTATTTTTGTTGCTACTTCATAACTGTAATTTTGCTACTGTTATGAATCGTAATGTAAATATCTGATATGCAGGATGTATTTAGGCGACCCCTGTGAAAGGGTCGTGACCCACAGGTTGAGAACCGTTGCTCTAGAGCATTTATACTAAAGTGGTAAAGTCCTATGCACTGCCAATTGGAGGAGATAGGGCACATATATTAAAAACTTGTAGAGAAGACCTGCAGTGATTGCACAGGTAAGAATAAAATGAAAAGTCATAGGAAAAAGTGTTCCATTTCACATGTATCAATTAATTATCTGGAGATTCATATTGGTTATCTGAGTCAACACTTAAGGACATTTAGGCAACATTTAAAGATCAGTTCAAAGTAAAGCTGGTCAGTGAGTAGGCATTGGCCCTACAGTTCTCAAAATTTCACCCCCCAAGTGATACTTTTTCTTATCTTCATCCCTGTCTCATGAACTATAATCGTATTACATATATTAATTATTAATATATTTTTTCATTTTGATTAATGAAAGAACTATCTGTTCAAATTAGGAATATTAATTATCTCAGACTGGTTTTCCCGCCAAAAGCAAACGAACATAATTTTGGTAAATGTGTACAATGTTTTCTGGGCAAAATGATGATTTCAGTTGGAATTTCTTTATAAATTTTGGCAAGTTTGGAAACATTTGGCTACCTCATTGTTGCATATTAAGGCAGGGATTCCAAACCATTGCTGTCCAACTCCTGGTCATCAGTGTCGTATTGTTTACAGAACAATCAAATACAGGAAAAGATAGTCTATGCAAATGACTTCAAGTAACTGTATTAAATCTTTTGTACCATATAGTTCTATAACCAGATTCCAAAAAAATGATAGTCATTCCCTAAAACAGATGCATTAATTATATTTATTTTTGTTTGTGTAGCAGGGGTGGGGAAACTTTTTGCTGCCAAGGGCCATTTGGACATTTACAATATCATTTGCGGGCCACACAAAATCCAAATTCTCAACTGAAAAATTAGCCTGCTATATTTGGTCAAGCATTTAATTAACTCACCTCTAACGCCTTGGCAGGGCCAGATCAAATGATTTCACGGGCCTTATATGGCCCACAGGCCGGATGTTCCCCATTCCTGGTTTAAGGTATAAGCAGGCCTATATTGCCTTACAATTAAGCAGTCAGACAGAAAAAGACATTCTTAGTTAACTTTTTTTTCCCTAAATTTCTTCTGGTTGTGCTTCATTGTCTAGTAATTTTAAGAGCCACAAAACTCTACAATGTCTCTAATGGAGTTAAACAATGATATAGCAAACGACCCAGTAGTCTTCATTTCCGTGGCCTAGAAGGAAGTACCACTAAGCTAAAAGCAGGAGCGCATTATCTCACAACCCGATATAGAATATACAGCTGTGTGAAATTTTCAGAAAGTGTATGCCAAGTCTGAGTACGGTTAATTAGTGCGAGGAACATTTGTAGATGGTTTCATACACCATAGTTCAAAACAGAAGATGGGAGTTGTTCTTCAAGATGCAATTAATAAAATTACAAGGAGGCCTTTCCCCTTTTGTGGTTAACATTATTTATGTAAGAAACCATCTTTATATATTCTCTCTCTAAAACAATCTATAACGAACATTTAGAAAACGCAGCAGGAATATTATTCTTGCAAAGCCAAAGGCCTACCCTTTATTGCATAGAAAAAACATTGGTGGTTCTGACACTAAGCTCAGACCCGTATATCTTACTACTCCTGGCATTTGTTCTCCTACATACAGAAAATTATTGACTGCTTAAAGGCAGCCCATGAGTCATTTTTACTAAATTTTACCTGCTACTCCCAGGCAAGGTCAATTTCCTACTTGCCAACTCACTTTAAAAAAAAGTCATTTTGGCCCTAGCCAGTTTTGCTCAGTGGATAGGGCATCAGCCTGTGGAACAAAGGGTCCTGAGTTTGCTTCCAGTCAAGGGCACATGCCCGGGTTGTGGGCTTGATCCCCAGCAGGGGTTGTGCAGGAGGCAGTCTATCAATGATTCTTTCTCATCATTGAGGTTTCTATCTTTCTCTCTCTCCCTTCCTTTCTGAAATCAATAAAAGTATATAAAAAAAATAAAAAATAAATAAAATATTTTTTAAAAATCACTTTGACTCTAGCCGTTTTGGCTCAGTGGATAGAGCATGGATTGAAGGGATCCAGGTTCGACTTGGGTCAAGGGCATGCCCCTCGGTTGCAGGCTCAATCCCCGGTCATGGTTAGGTTATGTGCTGCAAGGCAACCAATCAATGTGTCTTTCTCACATTAATATTTCTCTCTGTTTCTTCCTCTCTTACACTCTCTAAAAATCAATGGGAAAATATACTCAGGTGAGGATTAACAATAACAACAACAAAATTATTTTCCCTGGCCAGTGTGGCTCAGTTGGTTGGGTGTCGTACCATGCACCAAAAGGTCACCGGTTCCATTCCCAGTCAGGGCACATACCCTGGTTTCAGGCTCAATCCCCAGTAGGGGGGGTGCAGAAAACAGCCAACACCTGTTTCTCTCTCTGTCTCTCTTTCTCTCTCTCTCTCTCTTTTCCTCTCCCTTCCTCTCTCTCTCTAAAAATCAATAAAAACAGTTTCAAGAAAACATTTTTTGATTGGTGTTTATATTTATTAATGATTGTGCTAAGTTATTTTATTAGACCAAATAAAGCTGTCATTAACATAAAAACTCCATACACATAAAAATCACTGTATATCAGCACATTTCAAATTCGTGTATTTAAAATACTTCCTTTTAAATCTACATGCCACAAATATCTTCTATGAAGTTCTGGTTTGTTCCTTTAAAACATCCTCTTAGGGGCTCTCTATTATGATATAATGCTCTGTTTTTCTAATGGTGCATCAATACCATGCTTTTTATGTATATAAACTTGATAATGAATCTGAATGTTTTCCCCTATCATGTTCTTCAAGAGTATCTTGGCTATTCTTGTTCATTTACTAATCTCTAACAAATATAGAATCCGATTAGCAAGTTTTGTGAAAATCCCCATAAGAACTTAAGTCGAAATTATATTACAATCTAAATGAATTTTGAGAGAATTGATTTCTTTATGGTCTTTAGTCTTCTATATTAAGATTGTAGTTTTATTATTTTCTTTAATATACATCAACACAATGTTTTAATTTTAACTGCAGGAGAATTTTACATCTTCTGTTAGATTTATTATTGGTGTGTATATTTTTTGCTCTGGTAAATATAACCTGTTTAAAATTATATTTTCAAGTCATTGTTGCTGGTGTATAAAATGAAATTGTCTTAGACATCGATTTTAATTCCAGTAATCTTCTAAACCGTTCTTTTTATTTATAAAAATATCTCTCCTCACAAAGTTCCACTTCAGCACGATAGTTTGAGGAGCACCACGGAATCATTCCCCAGTGAAACTGTGAGAATTATAAAAGGAAAACCATGTATCATCTCAGGAAATGTTCCCGAGGCAAGCAGCAAATGAAGAAACAGTTACTCAAGGAAATCTACCAGAGCTTGGTTAGAATGGTGAGGCTGTGGTGTGTGAGTCAGAACCCACCTCTTCCATCCCTGCTCCCAGCTCTGTTAGATGGAAACTCCACTCCAAACAGATTCAGCCAAGAACCCAGGGCTTCCTCTTCCCCGCAGCTAGCAGTTGGAGGGCTATCTTTTTTAAAGTATATTTTTATTGCTTTCAGAGAGGAAAGGAGAAGGAGAGAGAGAGAAAGGGAGAGAGAGAGAGAGAGAGAGAGAGAGAGAGAGAGAGAGAGAGAGAAATCAATGATGTGAGAGAATCATTGATCAGCTGACTCCTGCACATGCCCTACTGGGGACCAAGCCCCCAACCTGGGCATGTGCCCTGACCAGGAATCAAACTGTGACCTCCTGGTTCATAGTTCAATGCTCAACCACTGAGCCACACAGCTTAGCTGTTTTTTGTTGTTTTTATTTGTTTGTTTTTGTTTTTTTCTTCTTTCTTGTGGTTTGGAGACCAAGGAAATAAAACAAGATCTCATTAAAAAACAAAACAAAACAAAACAAACCAAAGAAAACCCAAGATCTCATCAATGGGCTCCAGGCCTATCTTGAAGAGCATGCTGAAGAGGAGGCAAATGAAGAAGATGTACCGGGAGATGAAACAGGAAGAAGAACCCAAGCCCGTAGAACTGCCTGTTGAA